GGCAAGCTAGTCTACTTCCAGCTGCTCCCTGGTGGCTACAAGCAGAAGAATCTTCACCTTCGATGTTGAAGGATCTTTTAGCAAGGGCCAGTAATTCGGTGTTGTGCCAATTTAGCTGGGCCAGGATTCTCCGTGGCACTCCTGGTAATCCCCTGTGACGTGGCCTAGCACAATGCGAACACCTCTGGGATGGGCGCTGCTATGGGCAGTCTGTCACTTGTAAGAGGTTAAGGTGTGATGCAACACGCTTACTTGGATCACGGTCCTGATGTTTTGAACTGCTGACTTTGTGGTTTGCAAGCCAACACGTAGCCATTACTTCCCCAGAGTTCCTGGAAAAGATATGGTTCGTGTTTACTTTGTCTTTTGAAAGGACCGAACACTATCAATGTGGGGCATGCACTACCTTGTGTAGCTCTTTCAGACTCAGTCAGACATCGTTTTAATGACATGTCATTCCATTCCCTACCTCTCTCTTCTCTTTTTTTCATATACCAAATAACATTGTATTGTCCTCACTATTATAACTTTGTGATAATTTCTCCCAGGACAACATACATTAGATAGATGATAGATAGATAGATGATAGATAGATAGATAGATAGATAGATAGATAGATAGATAGATAGATAAATAGATAGATAGATAGAATTAGAACTTAAGTCTGAGAGTACCCTCAATGAAAGGTGGCCGAGAACCACCCTATATTTACTACTTTAATGCCCTCCTTGCTTTCCTGTGACATGTAGGAATCCGATAGGCAGGGCTCTGACCATTACCTGATTCTTAGAATGTTGTTTGGGGCTGATGCCTTCAGTGCTGCTTGCCCTTCTTCCTTCAGCACCGTTGGTTCTATGCTCATACGCTACATAGAACACCAGTGCTACATAGAACTATGCTACATAGAATAGCATATGCTACATAGAACACCAGTGCTACATAGAATATCATACGCTACATAGAACACCAGTGCTACATAGAACTATGCTACATAGAACTATGCTACATAGAATATCATATGCTACATAGAACACCAGTGCTACATAGAATATCATATGCTACATAGAACATCAGTGATACATAGAACTATGCTACATAGAATATCATATGCTACATAGAACACCAATGCTACATAGAACTATACTACATAGAATATCATACGCTACATAGAACACCAGTGCTACATAGAACTATGCTACATAGACTATCATATGCTACATAGAACACCAATGCTACATAGAATATCATATGCTACATAGAACACCAGTGCTACATAGAATATCATATGCTACATAGAACATCAGTGCTACATAGAACTATGCTACATAGAATATCATATGCTACATAGAACACCAGTGCTACATAGAACTATGCTACATAGAATATCATATGCTACATAGAACACCAGTGCTACATAGAATAGCATATGCTACATAGAACACCAATGCTACATAGAACATCATATACTATATAGAACACCAATGCTACATAGAACTATGCTACATAGAATATCATATGCTACATAGAACTATGCTACATAGAATATCATATGCTACATAGAACTATGCTACATAGACTATCATATGCTACATAGAACACCAATGCTACCTAGAATATCATATGCTACATAGAACACCAATGCTACCTAGAATATCATATGCTACATAGAACACCAATGCTACATAGAATATCATATGCTACGTAGAACACCAATGAAATGTTTCAACAAATGATGAAGCACCGGAAGCACTCATTCATCTAGGCCAGGAAATTTGGAAGACAGCGACTTGGCCAACTGACTGGGAGAGATCCATATTTGCACCCACTCTAAAGAAGAGTGACCCAGTGCTCAAACAATAGAACAGCGTCGTTGACCTCACATGCAAGTAAAATGTTACTGAAGAGCATCTATTGGTCCTTGATGGGCGGGGAGGGCTCATGCTGCTGGGAAATGGCACAGCGACTTCTCCCAAGGAGGTTCCTGGCCTCCGTCATCCCCAGGAAAGCCCCTCAGTGTCGGTGGGCACCCCTCACCTCCGGGGTCCCCCAGATCCCACAGGGCCCTTCTGGTGGCCTGGCAGCAGCAGCATGCAGCCCAGCCCGGACGATCCTTGCCTCCAGAGCCTGTGCCACCTCCTTGAATGTCCAAGATGGACCTGATTTCCAAAACCGAGTTGTCAACAGTGAAACCCCGGTGGTGGCGCATTTCCACACACAGTGGTGCGGCCCCTGCGAGATCCTGGGCCTGAGGCTGGAGAAAGCGGTGGCCAAGCAGCACAGGAAGGTCCTGATGGCCAAGGTGGACATCGATGGCCACTCAGACCTCGCCACTGAATATGAGGTGTCTGCTGTGCCCATCGTACTGGACATCAAGAACGGTGACGTGGTGGACAAGTTCATGGGCATCAAGGACCAGGACCAGCTGGGGGCCTTCCTGAAGAAACTGATTGGCTGACCAGCAGGGAGGTGTCCGACAGCCGTAGGGCCGGGCCCCCTATTGCCAGCTCCCCCTGCCTGGCCCCTGGGGCCTGTGTCTAGGAGACATTCGAGTCCAGCGAGCTGCCCAGCCGGGGGTACCCATTGGGGGAGTGCTGCTCCCACTGTGGACCCAGGCCACCTATCTTCCTGGCCACCGCCCTCCAGGGCTAACCAGTCCTCCCAGGAGGCAGCGGGCCAGCCTGGGACCCTCGGGCTGGAACCCCTGGTCTTTGCCTCCTTAGCCTTTTCTGATCAGAAACCAGCCCTCCTCTGTCCTTGTCTCTCCGGCTGCTCTTTTGTGATGAAAAACAAGCAAAATGGAACAGTGAGAGTAATAGTCATTCTCCCGTCTTCTGTATGTCTGTCCTAAAGAAACTTATGGTCCCTTCTGTGAAGACAGGCTCTGGCCCCCACTCTGACTCGATCCAGTCAGCACACACACCCCTCCCAGGCCCAGAGACAGAGAGCAAGCAATGGCTGGGCGGGATCAAGTCCGCAAGGTCCCAGCACCGCCTGCCCTCCGCTTGTCTGAGCAGGTGGCTCAACTGTGAACCAATGAGACCAATAAAAGGAGGGCTTGCACTGCCAAAAAAAAAAAAAGAACATCTACCAATGGTTGCAGCAGTCCATTGACAGGGAGCTGCCAGAGGTGCAGACCAGATTCAGAAAAGGACTTGGAACAAGAGATCTGATGGGTGATACCAAGTGGGCCTTGGCTGAAAGCAGAGCATTCCAGAAAGACGTTGACTTGTGTTGTATTGACTATGCCAAGGCATCCGACTGTGTGGACCATAGGAAACTGTGGATGCCCTTAAGGAGAGCGGGAATTCCAGAAGGTTCCATCATGCTCCTGTGGAACTTGGATGTGGACCAAGAGGCCGCTGTGCAAACAGAACAAAGGACTACTGCGTGGCTTAAAATCAGGAAAGTGTGCATCAGGGTTGGATCCCCTCGCCATCCTGATTCAATCTGTGCTGAGCAGATCATCAGAGAAGCTGGCTCATATGAAGAAGCATGTGGCGTCGGGATGGAAGGAAGGCTGGTCAACGACCTGTGAGGTGCAGATGACACGACCTTGCTTGCTGAACGTGAGGAGGACTGGAAGCACTTGCTGATGGGGATCAAGGAGTGCAGCCTTCAGTGTGGATGACAACTCAATATACAGAAGACCCCAAACCTCACAAGTGGACCAACAGATAATATCACGATAAATGGAGAAAAGGTTGATATTGTCAAGGATTGTGTCTTGCTTGAATCCACAGTCAGTGCTCATGGAAGCAGCAGTCAAGAGATCAAAAGACATATTGCATCGGGTAAACCTGCTGCACAAGGCCTCTTTAGAGTATTAAAGAGGGAGGATGTTACTTTGAGAACCAAAGTGTACCCGACTGTGTTAGACAGGCTTCTCTAGAGAGATAAAACCAAATTCCTGATAATATAATATATGTATTTATAAAGATAATTCATATATAACGAGAAATGAAATGTTAAATCATCAAGATAATTAGATATATAACGAGAAATGAAATGTTAAATCATATACAGATAAATATACAATACAAGAAAAAAAACAATACAAGAAATAAACAGTTAAATTAGAAGCACTATAAATGGCTTAGTGCAACTCACGTCCGTGAGAGAAAGTTGAGAGACTAGCAGGCCTTCAAGTCTCTGTCTGATGCCAGATCTTCCTCTATTTGTAGAGAGAGCTAGGCTATGTCAGCACAGCAGCCAATCACAAGGCAGGTCACCAACCGCCAGTCCCCAGCTCCAGAGAAGTCTTAAAGGGACCTCAACTTACAGCGACACAGTCCACAGGCTAGGCGTCCCACAGGTAGTGTAGCCTTTAAATTGAGGCACAGACCAAGCAAGGCAGCCGCACACTGGTCTGATGATCACAGAGCGAGAGACAAGAAAGGCAAGGCTCACCAAGCCATCCATCTCTCCGCCCCTCAGTCCATCCCACCTGCGTTTATCAGCCAGGCTGGCACAATAAACTGTCTCACCGACCCAAAGCGTGGCCTTTTCAATGACCTCACATGCATGTGAAGGTTGATAGTGAACCAAGAAGCCTGATGGAGACTCGGTGGATTTGAACGGTGGCGCTGGAGAAGAATATTGAAATACCATGGACTGCTTAAAGGACAAACCCATCTGTCTTGGAAAGCAGTATAGCCAGAGTGCTCCTTAGAGCCAAGGACTGCGTAGCTTCCTCTTACATACTTTGGAAAGAGTATCAGGAGAGACCCGCCCCTGGAGAAGGACATCGTGCTTGGTAAAGTAGAGGGGCGTGGAAAAAGAAGAAAGCCCGCAAAGAGTTGAATGGGCACCGTAGCTACAACGATGGGCTCGATCATCGTCACTGGAACGTTTGTGAGGACGGGGCAGGACCGGGCAGTGCATCCTTCTGCTTTGTGTAGGGTCACCGAGGGTCAGCACTTACTCAGTGGGGCCTGATAACAACACTAACCAAGGATGTAGATAACCTTGACCTCAGACAGAGTGCAGAGGGAAAATACATTGCCGCCAGTCCTCTTCAGCCATCCTAGGGAAGGACAGTCTGTCTTGGGGGCTTACCTGGGTGAATTCTTGATGGAGGTAAGCCATTCTGGGGCAGTACAGGCGGTCCCACAATCATGAGCCGTGCCTATCAGTCTTGCCCTGACTGCCTGGGTCGGAAGGCCCTGGACCAATCCTGTAAGCTCCTCTCACATAATATGCATGCCCCGATTAGGGTTCTGTCCCTGCTTCTATAGCTCCACCGGGGACTAGGATGTATTGATCTGCCACCAAACATGGTTTTGCGACAGGTGCCTTTGCCCTCTCGTGTCCTTTTGAAAGCCCTGAATCTCAGCAAAGCCTGCGATAGATACCATTATGACCTAGTGCTAGCGGCTTCCCCTTGTCTCGTTTAAGACTGAATAAATGTTCTCCTTAAATTACATTTAAGATTGGAGTCTTAAAAGTGTGTGTGTGTGTGTGTGTGTAGTGTGTACCCTCTTGCCATCTAGCTGATTCTACCTCGGCAGCAAAATCCTCCTGCTACGCAGTCAATTCCATCTCCTAGTGACCCTATAGGACAGACGATAAAATGCTCATGTGGATTTCTGAGACCTTAACTCTTTATAGGAGTAGAAAACCTCCTCTTTCTCCTAAGGAGCTCCTGGTGGTTTCAAAGCACCGACCTTGTGGTTAGCAGCCCAGTGTGTAACCCTCTACGCCACCAGGGCTCCTCAACCGTAGGACTGACTGAAGGCTCTCTGAGAATGTCGACACCACACCATTTGCCTGCAGAGAGGCTGGCGGGTTGGAAGGCCTGACCTTTTGGTTAGTAGCCAAGCGCCTTCACCACCGTGCCCTGGGGGCTCCTTATGGGTATAGGTTTTCTGAGACGGAGTCTTTATGGGAGCAGACAGGTCTCTCTTTCTCCCTCAGCGCAGCTCGTGGGCTTGAACTGCCAACCTTGCAGTTAGCAGCCCGATGCTTAGCCCACAGTGCCACCAGCACTTCTTGGTTATGTTTAGACACATCTATAAGGTGGCAGAGAGAGAGATCATATAGAAAAAATTTTTTTTAATCATACAATTCTTATTCTTATCACAATCCATATAT